CCTGGCATGAAAAACCTTTCGTTAAAGCTTACCATTAGCGAAACAGCTTTAGATAGAGAAAAAAAGCTTCCAAGTCCCGCAAAACTAAACCAATCCAGAATTTCAGATCCTAGTGATCACTTTGTATAGGGTGACTTACTGTGTATGTGTATCTCAGGTAAAAAATTCTCTTGTATGGTTGTCTATGAGGCAATTCAAGCAACGATCATCTGCGTTCAGAAAAAAATGAAAACATGGATTCTTAAACATAGGAATCCAAATAGTGGACTTATGTTTGACATGGGGCCTAAACTAGATATTGCAAATTTTACAATTAATATAATAGAACTAGGGGGTGAGGTGGTAAAATTAATATCTTTGATCAATTATGCTCTCATAAGTGGCGTAATACATTATAATGATGTCAATTTTCTCCCATACTCTCCAAACGTTAATTCACCAAAAACCGAATTCTTTAATTTTTTCTTAGGATTCAAGGCCAAACTGGCATCTCAAATTAATTATATCTCGTAAAACCCATCGTCTGGCATATAGAAAATATCTGGTATAATAGAGATAAAAATCTTTTCGAATATGTTTTAAAATGGTTTGCATTTCTAGTTCAGTATCCAAGTATAATTCCTGGAACGATTCTTGTTTTATGCTCCTCACTACGATGTGAGAAGAATATTATCACCGATTTTATTCGAAAAGTTTATTCAGGCCAGATCTTGTATTCTTGACTTCTGATCTAGGAAAGATTCTTGGATGGTTTAATAGCCCTATCCAAGCGTGAAAACTTATTATTATGAATGAAACAGGAATGGCTAGTGGTGAATGACATAAGGCAAATGATCATTTAAAAGCTCTTATTACAGAAAACTATATCTCAATTGAGCACAAAGGCTTTGAATCCCAAGATTGTAATCATTTTGCTAGATTTATGATTTTAAGTAATCATGATGCCCCAATTCGAATAGAAATGGAAGATGGGCGTATCGTATGTTTAGATGTCTCTCCCTGTTGTAAAAATAATTTTGCATATTTTGACCAATTGGGAGGGATTCTCGAGCATCCTGATATGCCTGGATCTTTTATGTCATATCTGCTTAGTCTTAATCTTTCTGGATGGAAGCCACATAAGATTTCTTCAACCAAAATGAAAATAGAAACTATGCGAGACCAACCACCTAATCCCATTCGATTCATAATTGATTATATTGCACTATGGCCTGAAGATAAAGTAGCTAAGCTAAGTAGCAATATATTATATCAGGAATATTTTGATTGGTGTGGAGGCAATGGGGAAAAACCATTTTCTAACAATATTCTTAGTAAGAAATTCTCAGAGATTAATATCGAACACAAGAGGGCAAGTGGTGGAAAAAGGGAATGGCAATACATTCTGGATCACTTCAAAATCATAACTAAGCTCCGTGAATTCGGCCTAGATGATATCAAAGAATTTTCTGATACACCTCAACCTGACTTACCTAAAAATGGGACAACAGACATACCCATATTCAATGTACCAGAATTTATTCCTCCAAAAATAATTCCACCTCAGGCAGAAAAGAATCTCTCTTCTAGTGATAAGAAAGCAGATAAACAGAAAAATCTAACCCAAGCTCTATTCAACTATGGAGTAGAAGAAGCTGAAGCATCAGTTGCTTCAACATCTGGGACTTCTGAAACTTCTAAGACGTCTAACCTACCTGAGCCAAAAATTATTGAGTGGTCTCAAAAGGATCAGCTCAAAACTAGCAAGCTTCCCGAACCTATTGAGCTTATAAGTGGAGTAGTGTCTGATACGCCTTCTAAAGAAACTGATTCTTCCAAGCCTATCAATGAAGTACTATCTGCCATACTTCTGAGCAGGGCTCAGTACAAAGAGTGCCTCAGAAAAAGGGCAATCGAACTTGGTAAGAATTCTGATATATTTGTAACTATTACAGAAAAGGACAGGCTCGACTCCATTGCATTCCGAGATAGAATAGAAACTGATGCTTAGATGTGTGGTTATGCAAAAGAGGGGAAGAAGACCCTAAAGAATATATGGACATGTCAGTGCAGGAAAGATTGATAGGAGAAGAAATAATCTGTTGTAACCTTGAAGATAAGGGGACCACATCCTCCTGGCTCAATACTGATGAAGAGTGGCAAAAAAATATAAGCATACTCCAGGAAAACAGTATGCTTTAGTAAAGAGTGAATTATTATTATTTTTTTCAAATTAAAAAATAACTAGATTAATATAACTAGATAACACTTACTACTGACATAGCTACTAAAACAGCTTCCCCAAAGACCCAAAAACCTAAAGTTAATAACTTTGTATTGGTCTTAGAGCAGTTCCTAGAAAAGCATAATCTGACGGCCAACTCTACTCCAGAACAATTAACGAACATGCTTTCAAACTTGATGTATTACTTCCTGATTAGATGGCTCGCAAGTGTGTTAAAGTCGCTCTTGCCAAAGATATTTATAACAGATGCTTATTTAGTGAAGAGCAGATAGAGGCTCTCTTACCAGATAAGAGAAAAGAAAAACTCACCATAGAGGAAAGGGCAAAATATTGCGCTAAAATCGACAATGCTATGGACATTTTTACCCATTATTTAGATTTAGACCCAAAAAATGATTATGAAAATGAAATAGTCGCCAGTGGTTCACGCTAGTCGCAATTTCGTATGAAATTAGCAAAAGACGGGATAAGTCCTGAAATTATCAATAGCTATGCCAAAGATTCAAAACTTATTCAAGAGTCTAATAAAATTTAGAAAAAACAAACTAAAAAACAAATGACTAATCCAGATAGAATTCCAATACACTTCTCGTCAGCAAGAGTGCTTAAAAGGATTCAGAATATGGATGTTTCTAAAATTCTATCTAAAAAAGATCTCGCAAATATAATTGTGATGTTGAGTATGAGACCTGCAGAAGTAAGATCTCTTCAAATTATTCACTATGAACCAGATCCTTTGAATGCTCCAGTATGGTATAAAGAAGGTTATTCTTGGTACTGTACAGGCTATTTAAAAAGTAGAGGAGAAAAGAAAAAGAATCCCGAGCCCTGACCATTTCTTTCTATAGAGAAGAACCTAGAACGTGCAAGGAAATTGCTTACTTGGATTCAAGATGCAATTAAGATTAAAAAGTTATCTGACCCTGTCTTTACTGGAAATGGAATACATAATGCTTGGCTATTTAACGAGTTCTTAAAACAAGAACCTTATAGAACTATACCTAAAAAATTAAGAGATTATGGAAGTAAACACGCTTCCAGAATCTATGGTGATAAGAAACTAACACCCCAACATCTTAAACTGCTTTCGAGAATCGCAATGAGGCAAGAATCAGACCACCTTGATGCAGGTGATAATTACGCTATAGGCAATACAGAATCAGAAGAGTTTGACTCCGAACCAGAGACAAGCGACAGTTCAAAACCTCAAATACAGGCTTCTTCGTCATCTCAAACAATAGAAATAGATTTAATATTAGCTGAAATTGATGCAATGTTAGCTGAAATTCAGAAATAAATACTAGAAGGAGGGTCGGGTAGTGAGCACTTGTTTAGAGAATTTTCGCTAGGCCCTCATGAACGTGAGACTTAAATTGTCTACCATTTTCCTAATGCTATTCTTGAGATCACAATTAAGAGATATATTTTTATATTAATATTTTTTTTCTTATAAATTGGCAGTGTTGAAGTGAAATAAAAATCTATGAAGTGTATATCCTTTCTCTTCACTAATCATTCATGATTGCCAGTAGATTGATCAGTCCTTGGCTCATACTAAATAATTCATGAATGAATAGATCGCTAAATCCAAAATTAGTATCTAAAATTATTTTTTTTTAGTCATAAAGAATATACTATAAATAAGTTAAGTATAAAGAATTTTATTGTAAAAACTTATCTGTACTTGCTTCGCTGATATCATCATGTCCCTTGCTAATCTTCAAAACCTCGCTCTTAATATTTTAAAAGAAACAAAACATAGTGTGGTACAAAATATTGACATTACAGAATTGCCACCATATAAAATATGTAATAAAAAAATTTTAACGGTTAACTTTGAATCACTTACAATACTTCCATGCGATCATGCATATCATAGGAAATATATTGAAAAAAATTTTTTACTTACGGAAGAGAACAAATGCCCTATTCCTGATTGTGACAAAATTGTTGATCCAGTAATATCTGAACGAAGGTTTTTTGAATCATCTCAGTCTAGTGGAACTTCGGCTATTGCAGATATGTTAGGCAATAATCTTGGGTTAAATTCACCAATGAATGTATCACCATTATTACCCTTATTTAATGAGGCTACCCAGAAAAACGTACTAGGGAATCACCCGCATCTACTAAAAAATTGTCTAGCAAGAAGGTGAGAAAAACTGATAGAAAGAAGATATCGCCTATGTTAAAAAAAACTTATCGAAAAATTATTAGCTAATACACCTGTTCCCGCTATTGGAGAGAACTTGGAAAAAGCAAATGAAAGTGCAACCAGTATTTTTTTGCAACTCTCTGATAAGATTGATAATGCCAAAACTAAAACCGAAGGTGCATCTCGAGGTCTTATTTTTAGCTATTTTGATTTTGGGAAAGCTGTATTTAAATGATACAAAGAATTAAAACCCGAACATAGCAAGGATGGATCTCAAGCATTAGTCCAGAGTGAGGTTAGAGAGGCGATTTCTGAGGCAAAATGTTCTGACGAAGCTTTGCGGAAAAGAATAGAGAGATCTGAAAAGGTTTATAAGCTTTTTAATAGTATAGACAAAGAAAAAATATCACGAATAAAATCCACCCCTCCAGATTTTATCTTAAATTTAACTAAGGATGAAAAGGATTATATAATGGCCGAAATCTTAAAACGAAAAGTTTGTTAATATACTGCGCCATTTCTGCTGCGCAATTAAGTCGAGCCCGGACACCATATCCAGACTCTACTATCAGAAAAAACAGAATTTCATTCACGTGTATTCTCAAACATATAATAAAGTATTTGCATAATCCCGCCCATATCGGGCTTGATTTTTTAAATGTGTATAACTGATTGCCAAACATCATGGAAAATAATTTCTAAGCCCAGACACCATGTCCAGACTCTATCATCAGATAGTCATATGTATAATGACTTACGAAGTGCCTTAACGGCTGGCTATTTCGGGAGATAAATTTAACCTGAGCTTGTATGCGTATCCAACAGAAAAATATAGGTTTCGGGAGATAAATTTAACCAGATGCTAATCCAGCTTCTGCTCAATTTTGATGAGCTTGGACAAGCTTGTCCAGACTCTACCATTAGAAAAATAATATATTTTTTGCATGCGCATTTTATTCGTAATCATTTTCCCAAATTCCCGTTATGCTTATCCGGCTAAAGAAAAAAAAATCTGAAATTTGTTTGGCCGATCATCTCGTGATTTATCATTATCTCATGTAAAATTTAACTGTATTACATTGCAAGGCTTATCGTTATAACTGTATAACATGAAAAATTTATCCGTATCACCTTGCAAGGCTTATTGTTATGC